GCCACCCTATGTCTTGCAGCATTGTTTTCAAGTCTGCAGTATAGGGTGTTATCTGGTTTCCATTCGCTATTGGTTCCGTAACATCACATTGATCCCGTAACATCTGTGCCACATTTTCCCGATTTTTAAAGACGCGGCTAGGAGTGCATTACCATAAAATCCACCTTCAGCGATAACGTCAGCACCCTGATCTCGCAGCATTAGTACCACTTTTCTATAGCCTTTCGATACATAATGCGACCTAGGGATGAGATCAACATATGTCTAATAGGTCCCCATCAAGACGCGCATTCTACGCCAAAACGGAACCCGCATCAGAGCCAGAAGTCACCCATCTAGCGGTTCTAGTTATTGCATAGCCGCGTAGCTAAGGGAGACACTGTAAATGCTATATACATAGGGAAATACACACATGGCATAAATATTTCGGTCCCCGACTTGACCGAGTAGAACGATTAATGTGTGAAATAAGAGAGAGCTCGCCTAAAATGTAAGCTGGAGACCTGCCACTGCTACCATACTATCGCTTCCCTAACTAAATAGGCATTTGATGCTAGTCAAACACATACAAATTTATAAACTCATCGAATCAATGCCATCACTAGGCCCAAATAATTTAACATCCGTAGAGCAGCACGACGTAAGCAAGTCTCTTTCGCATTCACGCTAGTGATATGGAAAACCCGGTAGGCAAAACCACACCCAAAGAGATATATAAGATATAAATATTTTATCTGCACATTAACTGATTAAGAAGATAAAGCGGAAATCGTCGTTCTATCCAAGAGCCGGGTGGGGGAGGGTAAGGAAGGAGCGAGCTATATCATGAATGATATTCAGAGGGAAAAGCTCATTCGCATTGCCACGCAATGAGTCTCTTATCCAGACTTAGTGCAGCTTGAGATCTCACTAAATGATGCAGAAGTGGACGTTGGAGACGACTCCCATGAAGACGATTCTGATAAAGACGAAGCCGATGTGGAAGGTGTAGATGCCGATGAAGATGTTGATGAAGATGCCGATGAAGATGTCGATGAAGATATCGATGAAGGCAAGTCGGAAGCAATACACGAGCTTCCAACCTTAAATCCGTTGTCCAATTTGCACCCTGCCTCATCTCCATTTTGGTTATAGAATTTAACCATTCCATTACCGTTTATATCTATCCATGCAACAGGCAGAATGTTGTCTTTCGTACTGCCGCATACTCCCACATCGAGCTTGGAGTAGTCCTTGCGGATACCATGTGTAATCATGCTTAGATCTAGGGTTTTGTCAGTACTAATAGTATATCGGTGGACCCATTACGCACCAGAACAATCGTCTCCATCAAGGAGACCAAAAGACGCTGAATGTCCTGTGCAGCCATAGTTATCATCAGACCATATCACGCATTGGCGATCATAATCGATAACCGTGAGACTGCCACCTAAGGCGGCGCGTATATAGACGCTAGTGAGAAGTAGGAAGATAGAGAAGGTCATGTTTCTAATATTTATAAGGATTGAAGGATGATAGACTGATTGGTATCTCTAGCTTGAAGCTATTATGAAAAGGGACGATCTTTATAGAATATCTGCGAATTGAAATGTCCACAAGTTTCCTGATGCATTATGAAAAAGCCGTGACAATACGCGCGTAACCCTTGCGACACGCTTTGCGACACGCTTTGCGACACGCTTTGCGACACAGTTTGCGACACAGTTTGCGACACACTTTTTGGATCGAGGTGTTACTAATTCCTGGGCTTATTTTGGCTCCTTGACCGGCTTACGGATGTGTGGGTCGTGATAAAAGAGCCCCTAGTAGGAACTTCTATCTCTATTCTAACCGATCCTTTTATAAAAAGGATTTCGTTCGGCTATAGCTTCCGTATAACGGGTCGGGTTTCACGTATTACCTCTTTCCGTAAATCCTAGGGGTATAGTATAAAAGTCACTCTAGTCTCGTTAATATTCGAAAGATCCCGAAAGACAGATACCGTATAACGAGATAGATATATAAGCCTAGTGCCCTATATTAAGTGGTTTTCGGAGGAGATAACGATAACGGGACCCTAACGACTAATAAAGCCAACTTCGCCTACAGCCTCCTTGATTTTTATAGTGAACTACTATTTATTAGTCTTAATTTAATTTGCTCTTTCGTAAACTAACCTCGTCGCTTTCCTCGGTCCTATATCGTAAAAAACACGTATATATATTAGCATCTCCCCTACTATAGATAAAAGGGCTATTTACTCTCTTCAGCTATAAGTGTAGAGACCGCTACACCTCGGGATTTATATCGGCTCCGTTAGAGGAAGCGGAGAACACGATAAAGCCCGTGATCTCTATTTCCGATAGATATTACTTATCGTAACGAGACGATCTAATCTACGCTATTATTATATTTACGTTCCTATACTAGGCCTAAATAGTCTAGCTTAATAGATAATAGTCGTAATTAAAACTAGGAGGAAGAGGAATAGAAAGGTAAGATAGCGAGGCACGGAGCTTTATATATTTAGTATATTCGAATCGGAGATTATTCTAGTTAGTAATTTAACGCGGTTCTTCTATTTTACACACCCTATAATAGAGCTATACTCTAGTTAGAATACACTTTTTTTTTAGGACGCGCGTAGTTGCTTTTATAGGAGTTATTATAATTAAAGCTTTATATTTTCTTTTATAAAGTAATTATAGATATATACACTCTCTAGAGAATAGTGACGATCGATATATAAAATAATTATAACTACTAAATCCTAGATCTAGCTAAAGAAAAGTGCTAAAAGGAGGTAGGTAACGAAGATAACGTAATAATTAGATTAAGTGAAAAGACTAAATAGGCCTATTATTAAAATACCCTTAGGGCTATATTTCTATATCTAGCGATTATAACACTAGGTGTGATCGAAGTTAATTTAATAGTAACGTAAGCGGGCTCTTAGCTATTAACGAAGGAATTGAAACTATAAGCGGGAGTCTATATTCGCTAGAGCCGTCGTAAGGTGATATAGTCTAGTATCCTCCGCCGTGATCTTTATACCTAGAACTTAAACGTTCCTAACTACTTCACCTAGGGCTTAGATCTTTCGAACCGTAGTATCCTCCCTTCTTATAAATATTTCCTAGAAAGAGTTATCTAATAGTATAGCTATATATTCCTCTCTTTCCTAGTATACTCCGTTAATAGTTTTTATTATAATATTCTCTAATAGAGTCTAGTCTAGTTTCCACTTTATAGCTAGGTTTTATAGAATGATTTCTAGCATTTCCGCGCTTCTATTATCTACACTTTCTACCGCTATAAGTGTAGCTTCACTCTAGTCCCGGTGGCTTTTAGTATAGCGTATAATCTAGCTCGCCGTAAGAATATAATTATATACGGCGGCGTATATAAGGAGCTTTTCGGGGGGTTAGTGACCGCGGCTTAAAAGCTAATTTAATATTAGCTCCGGATCTATTCGATCCACTATCTCTAACTAACTAGGTGATACGTTTCTAGGATAAGGTTTTCCTAGATCTAGGCCTAAGCCTAATAACTCGTTTATAAGGTCTATATCGGCAAATTGCTATATATTTCTTATTTCATCTAGCCTAAGCGAGGTAAGGCTATTATCGGGCAATAGCTTAAGCCGTGCCTAGTAGCCCTAAAACCATCTTCGATTCTATATAGAGGCCTAAAAGATTGTGTATACGTCTCTATTCGCTTCCGCTATTAGAGAGGGACTTAAAAGATCTTTAGGTTCTATTAAAGACACGAGGCGTTATATTAAGAAGTCATCTTAGTAGCTTATAACCACGAGCTAAAAGAAGCTATAGCTAGCTTAGCAAAATAAAGAAGGCCGAACTATTTGATAATCTAGGAGTAAATTGAAGCACTAAGAGTAATAGTTGATAGACTATAAGGCCAGATCATAGGGGGCACCCTCTTCTATCATATTCTAGCGGCTTATAGTATGGTTATAATCCCGGAAGAGGTTCCACTAAACCTCGATCTTCTGCCGTAGCGATTGGCTTTCTAAGGCAGTTTTAATTACACTCTCGATCAAAGGTTGCGGGCTGTCTTTACTGAGTTCTTAAAGAAATAAATGAAGGGCCTCGTGGGAGCCGAGCGGTTTAGAGAGAATGTCGGACTTAATTGCGGACTGTATAAGATCTGACGGTAGCCCCTTAATCCTCTCGAAGAGTGAAGGGCTTTAGAGGGGCATTTTCGGAGATTCATCGTGAGCAGATATGTTTATCTGACGGTAATGGTATAGAAATAATGCTGAAGTTGGTTGAAGTATTGTTACGAAGGAAATGACTAGTGGGAAACGAAGGTTTTATAGCGGATTCTAGGCGAGGGATCAACGCTCAAAAGACAATACCATTCTCAAACATATCGGTCTGTGCTCTCGTTGACCCTCTGATAATATGGAACCTTTTACAACATTGGCCCTAAGAAGCGTCATACTCCAGCGTCTATCATATATGTCTCTGGGCGTGGGTTTCCCCCACTAGGCGTATCACTCCACTAGCGTAGATACAAGAGGGAGTTCATACTTTTATTCTTACGCAGCAAATATTTAATCAGTATATACTAACTTGGCTTATGAATAGAATATAGTACTCGACATAAGAACTGCACTTCACAATGTCTACTCTTTTCCATCAACACGCGTAGTCTACCATAACGGAACCCGCGGGGGATCTGTTTAGACCACAGAAACTAAACCCTGAATAATCTAAATATATAAACAATCAGCTACGTTAGAAAACAGCGAAGGAAAGTCCCTCCATAGAGGCCACATGGGCAAACAAGCGCCTACTCTGCTAGCAAAAGCAGGCATCCACGGAGATTGAATGATCTTCGGATACATACTTTGGCACCTAACTTGGCCGAGTACAACTGCTAATGCTCCCCTATCCTTTAAAACCCTCCAGAGCCTTTCTCACCAATCCCAGGCCGGTTTTCCTCGCTTGAACCTTAATCCCAGCCACTTCAGCAGTCGTATCCAACCCATGAATTGTTTAGATCTTCTGAACAGCAACCTCTTCCAAACATGCTTTCTCGCTCTGCAAGCGATATATTTCCTCATTGGAGCATTCGCCCGAGAGAATCAAATCATACACCCGACTTTTAGTACACGCTTTACCAACGATCATGATCAAAAGATCCTCAGAGAGTGTGCGGCCCGTGCGGCCCCTACCGTCCCTTTTATATCCCGGAGGCGGGTGGTGCATAAGGATTCCAAAGATTTCAGCGCTCTCTCGCTCTGTTTTATCGGCAGCTGCAAATAGAGCTAGGCGCCAGTCGTGGCTTTCGGTATGGTGCGAGATCCACCTAGCTCCGGCCACGCAGTTGCGTCTCGCCGCATAAGTCAAGAGGTCTCCTAGGAGCTCTTTATTATGACTCCAAAACCAACCTAACATTGGTTCAGGGTTTTGTTAGTATAAAAGCTGATACCAATTCGGAAGTCCGTTATTTAGATTAGGGATTCTAAGATCCACACCTCGGTGTAGCAACTAATTTACTAGATCTATATCGGCAAATTTGCACAGATTCATAATCTCCGTTGGCCCAAGAGTTAATTCAATTCCAGGTGTTGATCGAAGACGTTTCCAGCAGCTATAGAACAACTAGGCATCCCGGATAGTGAATTGTAATATCGTCTCGTGTTTATATACCGAGATAGGGTTGAAGATATCTTAGGGCTCCATCACGGACAGTATCCGCTTTATCAAATTAAGGTTCTTTGATTTAGCCGCAATTAGATAGTGAGTTTGCCCATCCCGACAAACAGAGGAGGGACGGATTGTTTGATGATCAAGTAGGAAGGTAAAGCACTAAGGACAATCGACGATTGCTTTTAAGGCTAAATCATACGGAGCGGTTTTATCGAAAGTACGCCGACAAGTCTTCGTATGGTCAAAGTCAGGGCAGAGTTCCCAACTAGTCTCAATTCTCTTCCGAAGCGAAAGGCTTCTAAGAACAGTGTGGATCCTAGTTTTAAAGATAGAGTCCTTCTCCTCCTAGCAAAAAGCTTATAGAGTATATAAGGCATCATATGATCTAAGCGGCTAGGAAAAAATACTAGCCTCGATAATGAAATCTATAAGCTCTATTAGCAATTTTTCGATTCTTATAAGGTTACTATCTGACCCTAGAGAAGATTTTGCATTCTCTATACTTTTATAGACAGTAGTATTTGGCATTTGCCAAAAGTTAATAATTCTTGGAGGCTCGATGTTTAGAGGCTCGAGTATACTCTCTGATATCTTATAGTGAGCGAGAAATTTATCATTATATATGTTCATACAACTTACCACTTTCTTAATCTCCCCAGATTAATAAGGGATTATCTTAAAAGAAAAATGAACCAACCCACTTCGGCAGTAGGCTTCGTAGTGAGATAATAGGGAAATAATCCATAGGCCTTTTTTATTATAGTTATCTAGAGGCATAAATACAATCAAACTAGAAGAGAAGCTCTTTTATATTTATATACTCACAAACTATAGTAGTATCCCTATTTGATATCGGGAAATAAGTCCGCCACTTGTCCAATAGTAGGCTACAATTGACAAAAAGCCAGACCTTCTTATTAAGCTGATATTTCAGATTTCATAGACCTTATAAATAGACACACAATTTTACCTTAACCCTAAAGGGCTTATCACGTCGAGCTTCTTCTATCAATACCAATCTTTACCTAAATCATATATGACCTACGGCACGGAAATTTTTAAATGCAACTACTAAACTAGAACGTACTAGGAAATACCGTAGGGAAGAAATCGAAAGAAATAACAAAGTATCAGAATACGGGAGGAAATCAATTATCACGCAATACAATACAGAGTAGGTACTAAAGTAGAAGCAAAAAAGGTCGTGTTAGGAGAAGAGAGAGCTCACTATCTAATTATCTAACTAACCACCACAAGGGTGCGTAACTAGGGCAGCGAGGCATCCACAGCATTTAATATTGCTTATATAGGTCAAATAGGATGATATTCTATACGTGTTACGGCAGGGATACATGGCTGGAGATTGGCATAAAGGCAGACTACGGAGCTGCGATTCTGATCGAGAACGCCCTAGGACGTTAGCTGATTTTAGATGTATGAGTGATTTTGGATGTATGAGTGGGAAACTTGTGCTTACAGAAAAGAAGTACTTGATCTACTCTGGGCTAGGCTTGATTATCACTTCGTCAGTCATTAAGCCATAAAAGAAGAATATACCACCCACTCGTATACGACAAGTTTCAGCCCTCCAATTTATGGATCGTCCGAGATATCTTAGATAACCTCTGAATTCTGAAATATGGCCGCGATGGAAAGAGAATCATTCACGGGAGTGAGTGACCCCTCTTCAAGCCTCACTCCAGTGATAGTTTCTTCGCCCCTTATTCTTTTGTCAGACAAATTGGCTGTGCTGCTAGGAGTCAACTCACAGTGGTGTGCCTGTTGCATCATATTCTCGGTAACAAATGATGAAAACACGGCTTACGTCGGCCCTTAGGCCCGATAGGCCTTGGCTAACATTGATGATGCTAATTGCGGACGATGAAGACAAGGACATACTGGCAAATCTCTCTTTTAAGGGAAATTAGGAAGTCTTGCTGCGAGAATAATTATCTGGGAATGAATCAATTTATATATTTCTGTAGCATTGCCTAATTTGATAAAGTAAGCAACAGAGGGCACTAGTTCGATGCAGAAAATGACAAGACTTCAATTGCCTTCAAATATCAATATAGTAGTCTTGATAACATAACATAATACAAAATTTGAACATCACCTGGGATCATTGTATTACATATGCTCTATAACTCTAGAGAGCTCTTTTATTAATGTCACCAGCCGATGTAATGCCTTATCATTCCGATTCAACTATGAAAACCTTTCTAATCTTCACCGTGTTCTCAATGGAAGCGAAAATAAACCCATCCTCAAACCTTAACTTTAGTCACAGTGCAGTGGGGACATCGGGTCTTGAAATGCTGTTCCCTTGGTAGGGCTTCTCCCCATATGCAGAGGCCTTTGGTGACCTTATCGAGGCATAGCAATACCCCAGCCGTTTCCACGCATCCACATCCATATATAGGTGTATTCGAAGCAATATGATAGGTAACCGTTTCACTTAGAATCTAAATTAGCCTACGTTCAGATACGTTGGATTGATAGTATCAGGAACCTTAATAATAAAGGCCTATACAGAGGTGCGTTGATTGCTTTCAATGGAGATGTGAGGCTCGAACTATTTGCAGACGAAGCAAGTCAGCACAGATCTAAACATATAGCTCGCGGGCTCTTATACCTAACTTCAATTGTAGAGAAGTGAGACGTAGAATTGCATACAATATAAAATAAACAAACAACAGTGCAACGGTAAAGTAATCAATGAAAAATGATCCTCCTTCAATCCGGATATAGGGCAAGGGATATATATAATACAAGCGAAGTTTCTCATTCCAGAAATCTATCTATATACGAAGTCATTATGTCTCCGCGTCCTTACGTTTTGGAATTGTTATAAATCCATTTGAGACTGATTGTTTTTGCTTAGTCTAGCTCGATCGATCATTATAACTTATGCAATGTTAAACAGCATAAATGTTCTCTAATTGATTATACGTATTCTCGAACGCTTCCCCAGCCAAGATGCTAGGTTGTGTTCAGACACCCAATGAGCAGACTCGTGAAAGCCCTGGATTCAATGTTTCTAAATTGGAAAGTCACAAAGTCTCTTTCTCTAGATATTGGATTCATGGATGCCATAGAATCCCGTTATACTGAATGGAGGCACGTATTGATGGCCTATAGTAATGGTAATACCTAAAAGGTCATGAGCACTAGATAGTGCGAGGTTATTATCTATCGGCTTACTTTCAGGTGAATGGAGTAATTGCGCCATGTATGCATCTTCCCCAAAGCCATCTCGCTCTTATGTCTCATATCAATATTTTGCACTAGTAAATTTTAGGCGGATTTCTTGATTGCGTGTATTAAAAATCAATGATATTCTTACATTATTAATGAAAAATCAGGAGGTAATAGCCCAACTCCGCCCAAAAGGACGAGAAAATGTAATCATGAAATTGATATATCAGTTGCGAATGGAGAAGCGACCGAAGATCGCCATGCTTTCACACAAATATGTCCAAAAGATGTCTACCATGGTAGACATCTACCGCCCCTAAAATGCAGCTTCTAAATATACAGGCTGACGAAATATGAGGCTTGGGTTTTGTATGTAACTGTTTAGACCTGCGGGACGAATAGGAATCATAGTCATATGATTTCTATATCTGGGTGTTATCACATGACTTCGCTTCTTGGTGTGGGGCGCGCTGGTTTGATGTTGGGCACCAAGGTGACTTTCAACGTGACCCGCGACTGCCCCTCCGCCAGATACAAGTCTTCTTGAGAATACTGGCTTCGTCTCTCGCATTAAGCAGGAAAAGGCACTCACCATCGAGGAGTCGCAACTGCACAAAATATATGTTTATACCAACAATTTCGCCCAGATCGCCCTACTACCCCTCCATGCAATCATGATGGCGAGCGACCAATGCCCCCCGCCGGTCATTTCCTTTTCTTCCGGAAATGTCGAACAACTCGCGAGACAGGCTTGGGAACAAATCTCTCCTGTTGCTGAAGGCGTCTCTGAACCAACTATTGGCAGGGCCAGCGGATTTTTGCCTAGTGATATTTGCTTCAAAGTCATGGGTCTAGCATTGGACGAATTTCCTGGAAAGGTAGGGTAATGCGCGGTAAAGGATTTTACATTGTAGCTAACGTAGTCAGGCTTCCTTTTCGGCGCAGCCTCGGAGAATATCAAGGAGCAGAAAGGGAGGAGTCGTCTACTTTCCCGGGAAACCTCGGATTGGCGAAACCTTCACCATAATGATACCAATCTCGGTTCAGGGGAATGTGAGGATTGGGGAAATGGAAGTAAGGGTTGATAAATATTATCATATCCTGCAAGACTGCAAGCTTGATATCTCAGAGGATGGCAAATTAGTGGCATTGATAATAGACAATATTGTGCTATGAAATTCGTCACTGTTGAGCTGTCGTGCATGATGGATGAGTAGTGATTTCCTGATTTCCATAATCGCATGTAGCAGATGCTGACATCGCAAGGCTAGTATCATGCAAGAAAGGCTCAAAAGGGTGTAACCCTAATTGGGCGGAATCAAAACTTCCTCCATCTGGCATGAACCACTGCATCGCCATGCTCGTGTCATTGTTTTGTTGTGTATTGGGAGAAACGGGATGGGCTTCCGGGAAGCCTTGCATGGCGAAGCTAGTAACATTGAAATCGCCAATGCTCTGGAGTTGATTTGCTTGAGGGATGTGGTCATATATAATGCCAGAGATATTTGGGGCTGGTTGACTTCCAAAATACGAATCTTGTGGGTTTTGACTTGATCGACAGTCTAATGGAATTCCTCGAGAAACACCAGGTCCCGGTTGCGCTTCCAGGGCGCTCAGTAGATGCCTCTCATCTTGACTAGGTGATGTTGCTGCGGTAGACGGGGGCCTTTGGGTAATATGTTCATCATCCGAAGTGGAGTCGAATCCACGTTGAATGGAAAGCCGCGCCGCTGGATCTTGGTTTCCTTCGTTGGGGTGGGAGCTTGGTGTGCGCTCTGCAGAATCTAATTCCTGGGAAGGGATCGATAGAGTTGTACAAGAGTCTAGCCTTTGTCAGTGACATATTATTATGACAACAAACGCTCGAGTACTGACAATTTTGTGAAACTGATCTTTCGTGATAATAAAGGCTGAGATTCTTCATGGCCATCTGGAGTTGCGACTGAATACGATATTGAGGGAGTGTCTGAACATATTGGTTTAAAGCCTCTAATTCGAGTGGCTTCCACTCGCTCCTCTCAATACTAATGGTATTAGCGGTTTGTAAATCAATTCTACACGACGTGGTCCATACCTTCGTGTTGAGGAGGGAGGTAAAGACAACAGAAGCCCGGGCGGCTGAATCTATTGCCATTTCCAACCATAATGGGAATGGCGTGCAAGGAACGTCCTCATTCTCGTGCTCTTCTCGATATCAAATTGGGGCCATGTCTCCTGCACGATTAAACGTAACGAGTGTGATAGTTCTGTCTTCGTCCGATAGACTTGTTGTCTCCTTGGCTTTGTAGTTGATCTCTGTCTTCTCCCCTCTTTAAGCATCTTCCTCGTCTGCTCCACGCGCTCTGACAATATGATCAATATGACTTTCCTCTTAAGGGGCTCAATCTCTTCTATCCGTTCCAAATCATCACAACAGCGTTGAATAAGATCATTTCCCTGCATCCCACCTTCCCAAAACAACGCTGGGCAACTTATCCAGATCATGGAGCATGTCAAAAGTGCACTAATCTTGTCTTCTGAAAGCGCCCAATTTTTTGTAGTGGCAGTAAGTTTGTTAGTCTGTCTTTCTGTCAATCTAGCATCATCATGAGACCGGAAACTTTGGAACCATGAGCGACGATTGGAAGAATCGGAGTCGCCTCTTCTCTGCTGCTTGAGATGCGATGTAAGTGTTTTGTGGATGGCAGCAACATGACTCCGGGATTGTAAGATTATATCGATTGAATTTGCAGCTTCCTGGTTGGGTCAGTCGAGGTTGAGCACAGTTGATGCGATTGAAGTCACACATTGTCACCGGACTCACGGACAAGATTCTGAAGGTGTGAAAGAGTTGCATATAGTGCTTTATCGATCTATTCACGTTATTAGATGTCAAGAATGTGCCGGTATATTCACCTACTCTAAGCTTTGAGTGCGCCATGATGGGTGTTTGAGTAAAAAGCGTGATTCTCGACGACCCTGGAAGACTGCAAGAAGTCATATGACCGTGTTCATTTTGACCTTACCTGTTAGAGCAAGATATGCAAGGCTTTGGCACTAATGCAGCAGGGTGCAAGTTGTCTACCATGGTAGACAACTTCTGATGATCCTCCTTCATTTCCCCGCTTTCGCTCATACGTGGCGCATCTTATATTAAATACGCTCATAAAAGCCAGAGTCTTAGTGGAAGACATAACTAGACATACATTGCTCTAGCCCGAAAGAATATACATGAAATTGCTAGCAAGTGTAAATTCTATCACCTCAAATTGTCCGTTTTTCTGGGTGAAACAGACAAGCTGGCCAACAAGATGATTCCATTAGGCAAACTGCGCAGCCCACATGAGGGACTTCGAATCTGTGCGTATCAGATGCCATCTCTAAAATCAACCAATAATATGGGGAATTACGGAGCCTCTCACAAGGCACGAGGATATCTCTTATCAAATAACATTTAGCTCCACATTATAGTAGCCGCTGCTGACACCCAGATATTGTTAGCCTATAAGCTACTTATTTTTTAGTGGAGCATACTCATACACAGCGCCAACTGAAACTTCACTAATCCCTAGTCATAATCTGGGACTATGAGTCCATGATTTTGTTTTGCTCCATAGGACGTGGGAATGTCTATTTCTATGGAAACACCGCAATACTTAAGGCTCAATGCAGCCCTGGAGACGACCAACTTATTTCTTATTATCCTCAAAATTTTATTCAGTCTAATATTCCTTATATTTTGTCTCCATCTTACTCGCACGCTATCTCCGAGCTTCGCTTGCAATGTCATCGATACGTCGGAACTTCTCGACTACAGCTCGCGCTCTCCTTAAATTCATATGGAAGGGGACGGGCTCTAACTCCCAATACGAGGATCGTATTAAAGCAAAACTTGCCAAGAATCCGAAATTAGTCGATGCTGATAAGGTGGAAATTGCGTATGTCTCTCGGAGAGTGTCACAGTGTTACTGAATTCGCCGAGTACTAATGAATCTCAGTGGCGACGAACACACCTCGCCAGCAGACCCGAAGCCTCGCGTGTCTGGGCAAGTGTTCAAAGACAACCGCCGACTTACGTCTCTCCACGCATATCACGATGGAACGATCATATACTCCAAGGACAGTATCAACAAAGCACAAGAGGACTAAGCTGCAAATGCGAAGTGACAACAATCTGTATACCTCGGAATGATAGGGTGGTTGATACGGGCTTGTATAATGCTGCTGGGAACCAGGCCTACTGTGGACAGGGTCATTTGACGTATAATTTACCCAACCATAGCGTGAACATGGATCTCGAAGGATGCAAAGAAGCCTTATCATAAGTTGTGCTGTGACATTCTTATATAACAGATTGTTGATGTTCATAGATGTGGAAGAATGGATATGTAGCAGTTTCCCATTCGTCGTTGTCAATGGTAGTTCTCTTTCTATGCAGAAGTGTTGATGGTGAAATTAGGACCGAGTCAAAAAGAACACCGTACTATACTGCTATCAGACATGCCCACATACTTTGTTCAAAGCATGGGCACTATGCCCCTGTATGCTGAAGTGCTTCGTATTTTGACAGAGAGTTGATGCTGGGCCCTTTGCCGCGATTTTGACATGAGCTCCCTAGGGATTGAACCCGCATATTTTTAGCGCTGCGCTAATGCACAAGATATAATGCGACATATGACTAGCCAGCCAATCCTTAACCGCCCGCGTCCCACTTGCGGCGCGAGCTTACGGGATCCCAAACTAGCCATACTCAGGCTCAAAGTTCGGACTACACCGCCTACGGGATCCAAAACAAGCCATATTCGCTCCAAGTTCTGACTACACCCTTCTCTCTATAAAACCATATGAACCTGTGTCAGTCTTTTTGGCTTTGTGCAGCATAATGACGCGGAATCTTCCTAATATTCTCATGCATCCCTTCAAGGCGTTTCGCCAGTCGCCCTGGGCATTTTCGTCCGCCCTTCCATCCCGAATCGACCCGTCCTTGCTGATTGAAGAGGAGAACTCTCCCTACTACGAACCAGCCTATTTTTATCCGGCGCAGATCGGCGAAATACTTAATGACCGGTATCAAATTGCGACCAAGCTTGGCCACGGAAGCAGATCGAGTGTGTGGCTTGCAAGGGACCTTCACCAGTTCGTATTAGCCTAATCACATTTTGAGGTACATATTGACAGTTTAGGTGGCGCTGGTCGAACGAGCGATATGTGGCTCTTAAAATTAACTCCAATAATTCCCACGCACGGAAAACTGCTGGTGGCGTTGAGCTGGAGGTTCTGCGACATATAACGAGAGCGAACCCTCAACATGAGGGTTGGCGTTTCGTTCGAAAATTACTTGACTCGTTTTCTGTCCAGGGAATGTCAGGGAGTCATGTATGTCTCGTCTTCGAACCTTTACGTGAGTCACTGGGAAAATATTGCCAACGATGGCAAGATCGCGTGATGCCACCGGAGATTTTCAAAATAATCCTCCAAGAAATACTCCAAGCGCTTGATTATCTCCACACTGAATGTCATATCATTCATACCGGTAAGAATTCTTATTTGTGTTAGTTAACAATATGGTTCTCATTCAGAAGTAACAGATCTAAAGCCGGATAACATCATGGTACGACTGGAAGATCGTGAGCTCTTATCCCAGAATGCTCGAGATGAGTTTGAAAACCCGCTACCTCAGAAGCATTGCAACGATGGACGCATCATCTATCTATCCCGTAAGGACTATGGACCGCTAAAGGACATCATCGGACTGATTGAAGTCGTCGACTTTGACCTAGCAGTCCAAGGTGATATTCTTCAGGATGGCTGTATCCAGGCGGAGGTATATCGTGCGCCAGAGGTCATCCTTGACAGAGGGTACACGTATAGTGCTGATATATGGAGTCTGGGAGTTATGGTACACAGTATCCCCTCCCCCCCCAACATACTAGCACAGACAACTAACTATTGAATGAAGCTATGGGATTTTCTAGAAGGACGGACACTGTTTGAATCAGTTGATCCACGCACCGTTGAAGTCTATGATGACGAGACGCATCTTTTGTATATAACGTCGCTTTTGGGTCCTGCCCCTAAAGACTTTGTTCGCCGCGGCAAGAGGACATCGATGTTCTATACGGCTGCTGGTAAGTGAGTCTTTCAATTAAATATCTTATATATAACTAACACTACATTTCAGGAACACTCAAAAAGGAAGACCTTGTCCCTAGTAACTTTAGTTTTGAAAGCACCATCTCCAAGTTTGATGGGGAAGAAAAGAGGATGTTTATTAGCTTCGTCAACCGGATGATCAAATGGAACCCCGAAGAGCGAAGTACGGCGAAGGAGCTACTACAGGATCCATGGCTTCATAACGATTATCCGCAAATATGAGGCTGTCTTCCATCTTTGTTCAGCGATATTTCGTCAAACCCGGCGATGGTAAGCTAATATCTGAGGGGCGTTGTTACGGAATTAGTCTGGCGACGCATATATCTTATGTACATAGTTCCGAGTAATCAATCTACCATTCCTACACTTTCCAAATAGGGCTGGCACTCGTTATCTCCGTTGGTTCGGCAATCTTGTATCTGCATGCTTCTTTATCCCAGCTAAACCAGTGTCAGCCATATTCCTCCTCTAAAAAAAAAGAAACAGCAAAAAGTATTTGTGAAAATTCAGCAACTTTTGAAATCGTGCAAGATCGGGCAGTTCTCATGCGAGCAGGCAGCTTCCAAGTACTGGACATCTTTAGCCAATATCGGAACTCAGCACAACTCGATAAAAATCAATATTCGATAAACAATCATCAAGACCCTATTATCTAGCTACTGTCCACATTCACTAGGACCACTGTTGGTTACCTTATGTGGCACTAAGCATAACGACAAATCATCTCACTAAATTGACATCAAACAACGAAAACGGAGGATGTGGCCAACTTGGTCAAATCAAATTCACATTTTATTCCAGACTTAATGCTAGCAATAAATATTTTGCCATCTAGTTAGAATGAGTTTGGTGTGTTAGGAAAAACCGGAATTGGTAAAAAGGATAAAAACAATACGGAGACGAGTATTGCCATAAATTATAACGAGCCAACGTAAGACGAGTTTATATACGAGCTACTAACTATCTGACCCTTTTAATCAATCGTTCAGATCGTCTTAGTTTAGGGGAGACACCGTTAGTATCTAGAAGTTTGCGTTTAGCTAACCACCTACTATAAGAGCTATAAGGCGGTTCACTCGCGATATATTTAGTAGTGCCGTGTGGTATTTCCTACGTCTAAGATTGATCCGTTATCGGGTAGGTGTCCGGTATACCGTAAACCGGATAGTTATTATCTTCGTATTTGTTTTAATCTATTTCTAGTAAAGGTCAACTAAAAGCATATTAAGAGCTAAGGGCTATAATATACCCGCTTAGCTAGTTTAACTATAGAGAGTAACGGAGTGATCTTCTATCACCTTAGGCGCTCTATCCTTAGTTACTTTATTATCTAGGCGGGGATAATTCTACTTAAGGATTCGAGGCTCTTCCGGATCCTCGTAGGCTAGATACGTAGTAGGGGATAGAATAGAAATAGAGTTAACGTCTATACGCTTATCTACTAGGGTAGGAAAGCTTTTATCGATCAATTTCTCCTAGAATTCTAGTATTACTATAATCTTAGTGTCGGCATTAGAACTAAGCTACTCTACCTTATTATAGCTATAATCCTTATTAATATAAATCACTATAGGGTTAGAAGCCGAGCCTAAAGGAGTAGGATTATCCCTAATTACTATAGGATTAGCCTTAGTGCCTAACTCGGAAGAATCGACGAGTTCGTATATAACTAGTGTAGGCTAGTCCGAACGCTTATCGGGGATTAATACTTCGTAATATTAAGTTAGCAAAATCTATAATACTTCTAGAATATCCCTTACCGAAGGCCTCGCGCGTATTATTTATAAAAGAGCTTATACTAACTAGAGTGGGAAGTAGAGGCGGAAACAAATGCTTAATAACTAATATAGGGTAAGACTTAAGGGCTATAATTAAGATTAAAGACCTAATTCGATTCTTAACTATTACTATCGGAGAAATAGCGTGCGAGATATATGGCTTTATATCTCTCGTCTAGCCGATTACGCCTTATTCAGCCTATAGGCTAAAGTGGGCACCTTCGTCTAGGTCTCAACTTCAGACGGCAAGACCTAGTAGGATCGCTTCCAGATAAGGCCTATCTGCTAATCGTCTTAATGTCTAACGCACATTATATAGGAATACCGTACGAAGGACCAGCTTATCGTTCATTTAATCTAATAACATCATAAAGTGCTATTGCCATTTACGGACTACACTCCTACTCATCGACCGCGCCTAGTAGCATCGCCACCGTTTCGATTGAGCTCTATTTGCCAGTCGTTCCATGGCCCAGGATAGAAGACGAAACATGCAAGACGGACCAACACGGAGACTAAGGACCCCCTCATCATCCCCAGTCCGCGCGACGCAGATACACAGAGCGCCTTCGGTGATAGGGGTCGGGACTACGTAGATCTCCGGAATAAGGACGACCGCGACCCCGATGATGATACCATAATAATGCTCCTATTCCTAGAGAACTGCAAGTACGCGCATCGTCTACGCCCAACATCATCACCACTAGATTGATTGAGCTCTACTCGCCAGTCGTTCTATACATCGAGACAAAAGACGAAACGCGGAAGAGCGGACTAACATGGAGACACGCGCTACCTCTATCTCTAGTCCATATGACCTATTCCTTGTCCTTCTATCTCGTCCTCTATGCCAATCGATTATAAAGTCAATGAGTTCGGTCATAGGGCGGCCGGTCAATTGAGCTCTACTTGCCAGTCGTTCCGTAACTAATGGCTGTGGATGAGACGCTCATGAGGTACTGACCGAGAAATCAAAGCTCCCTAATCGCCTCCAGTCCTATATGTAGCTCGTTGTTATGGACATGCTAGTTGCCAATCGTTGGTAACCCCATATGTTGCACGGACGGGCCGTCGAGACCCAATCGACCTGCCTTGCCCGTCCACACCGCCTTCCTTGTTGGTCATCCGGGGGGCGGCCCCCTAGATGAGCAGGATCACGTGACCGTGACTCCCGCGTCGACTCCCGCGAGGAGTATACTAGGGAGTATACGGCGACTCCAATAGTGACTCCCGCACCTACTCCTAGGGAGTATACCGGGGAGTCACCTAAGGAGTAGGAGATAGAGGATATATAAGGACACTCCCTTATGTACTTAGTTTAGTTCTTCGTCTTCAATCTTACATTGTTACTTGTGTTTACCTTTGGATTACTAGTGCGACTTCTTACTTGATTATAACTCGACAACACTCATCAATTGACCAATACCTCGGTATAGATCAATTGAGCGCTCTACCTGGCATCGTTCCTCGATACCCTCAAAAGGACTTAGCCCGTGTAAGGCCTGCTTGGCAACGGTACGGTTGAGAGACAGATCGTTGACGTTGGAAGATCAGAGATCCCTTGTGAGTATAACCCGTGATCTACTAACCCTAACTGTGACCAGTTCGCAGTGCGTAACACTCGTGTTGAAGGATTCACCCCCTATTGTCTTATCCGTCCATCTTAGCGTGTCTGCCAATGGATAACCACGCGAAAGGGGTAGGGGTCGTCAAGGACAAGGCGTACTTAGCGAGCTGAGTTCCACTCAGCTATGTCTGAAAATGGAACGATGGTACGAAGGATCGAGGGGAACGGAGGCGTGCAAACGGTCTGGGGAGGTCGGCGAGCGATTTCAGAGATCATTAAAGCGCCTCAACATGGCCGCTATAGAAGCTTCACATCATGAAGCGTAGGGAAAGGAGGAGTTGATCATACTATCCAGCTCTCTTAGACACTTGTATCGTTGGCTTGCGCGAATTTTAGGGAGGAGCGTCCGGTCGAATATGCAATTGATGCGTTTTAACCAACATTCCCCTCGGTCCGAAATTGGTTGGACACCATCAGCCACAAGGCTCTCACTCTCGTACTAGGCCCCAAGGCAGATCCACAGACCCGCTGCACACAGGCGATTGTCCACAGAGGGTCTAGGGCGACTAAAACCAAAGGGCGCATTGGATCGACGATTGGACCGGCGGCTGACGTGTCCGTGAGGCAGAGGCGTGGTTCGGCGTGGCGGACCAAAGGCAAAAATGCCTCATGTCGAGCATGTTCGGCGATTCTGCGTAAAAAAGGGGATGGGTGAGGCAAAGCTGCGCACAGAGCGCTCGAGAGGTCGAACGAGGGCAAAGGACTGGTCAGTTCGCGCCGGTGAGTGTGTGGCAAAAATACCTCACTGGCAGGACGCACACAGGACGCAGATGGCAAGAAAGGAGCCGTAACGGGCGAAACGTTCGGCGAGCAACAGTCGGGGGCGATGAAGGCGACTTTATAGAGACACGCACGGCGATGTCAGTCACGTGGAAGGAGCTAGACCCAAAGAGGCACGCTAAACCGAAACTGGTAATTCGCCGTCACCGCAGAGTACGAAGTACATGGGGTTCCTGGCTACCGACCATTCCTGGGCTGGCCCTCTCGGGCCAATGATAGAGGATCTTATCATGCTGGAGGAATGCGGCTCTGAATACTGCGTCAGTGAAGTCCTTTGCTGGTAAAAGGAATCATCCACATAGGGGTTTGAATGCTCCAGCCAGCTGCCTGTCATATTCTAAGCAATGGAAATCTATCTAGAAAATAACCCTCCGCGCCTTAACTGCCTTCCAGTAGATATGGGCTGGCTTTATCTTTGAAGTTCCTGCATCAGATTCGGGCGACACCAGCGGCTCTGCACGCGATGCACATCAGAAGCATGGCGCTGGGACGCCGTTCGATGTTCTTGGACCATTTGCACGCTGATGTTGAGTTTGCGGACAATGTCACCAGCTTTTACGTCCGCCGTTGTGTAGGCTACGTGAAATACCAACTGTTTACTTTAGAGCTGACCAGATGAGCGATCACGTGCGAATCTCTGGTGTTGTATGTTTTATTCTTTTTGCCGCAATCACTTCATCTAGCTCAACGTCATCCCAGCATGTTCGAATCCCTCCTCCGTATGCGTAGAGGTGGATAGCATCCCGAGATGAAAGATCAATATTAAGAACAGCTACAGTCGACTCTAGATACAAGATCAAGAACAGCTATAGTCGACTCTAGATACAAGACGCAGCGCGAGGAAACAAAAGAAAGGAGTCTCCTCGCATTCATAAGGAGACTGTCGTTTCACAGAATTTGCAGGGCACGCCCCCAACCTACAGATTAAGAGTAGCCATGTCATTCCTCAGCTCTGCTCAATGCATAGGAATTGGTTTTGACAGAGTGCACCAGGGCTAGAACGCCATGAGGTCATAATATTTGCGGTATAGTTTGACATCCACACCGTTGTCGGAATCTTTACTCTTGGCCATCTCGTCCTTCAGCTTCTGGATATGAAGGGCGCGTTTCTCGGCCTCCTCATTGGCTTCATTTTCGTACATCCACCAACCCGACAAGGGCTGGATGGAATCAAGCCCTGGTTCCTCGGTTGCGGGAGCGGGACTAGAAGTGATCGGTTCCACTGTACCGTTTGACGTCCATCGGTACGCTTGGAAACCCCCGCGATGCGGAGTGCCGTCTAGCATCGCCCCACTGGAGGTGGCTTGAATGCCGGCCAGCCCAGCTAGCATCGTAGTCTTATGAGTAACGCCATTGTCATTGACAGTGACTGGGACGGAGGCGTATCCGGATGGGATGGCGTCTGTGTCAACCCCTCTCGAGAAGATATCATCCAATCCGAAGTCCGTGTTTTTCGCCTCGAACTCGGGAGAAGAGACAGGATGGACCGGAGGCACCCAAGACAACAGGTGACCCTCGGCATCCCAGAAGCAGAAGGTTGAAATCCAGCCAGATATCGTGGATGTTCCACTTCCGCGTGCCTTGTGTGCACATTTGCTCCAGAAATCCTCCACCTGAGGAGACTCTGGTTGATCAAAGGACAAGACGAAGTGATTTAGGATCGGCCGAAGAAGCTGAGAGAATCGCGCGGGCTGATCGCCAAGCTGTGGCAGCTTGTCAAGTTTCTTCACCATGGATGCCCAGTCTCCGCGCTGTCCCAGCAAGGTGACGGAAGGAATGCCACACTGAAGGGACATGGTGAACGAGAAGTACTTCTGCATCGCACCCATCATCAGGACAGCCGCGACAACACTGTCGACTTCAGTTGTAGTGCTAAACTGGGGCATGATCCAGCTCCGCAATTCCGGATCCACCACGTTCTTTTCAATAAGCCTGGTCATTTCAACGGCAAGAGCACCAAAATCTGCTGACTCGATATTTCCGCCACAAGTGACTTCCAGGTCTTCCTGCCCTTCATGCGCCACAAAGAATGATCGCAGTTCCTCTGCGTGTGCATTGACGAAGAAGCTCAACTGTGTGAGAATAGAGAACCACACGTCTTCCGGTCGGATGGTCAGGTTGTGATGATAGCTATAGGCGTGAACCATGGCCCAGACGAAACCGTGCTGTGACGCAGAGACATGGCATCTATTAAAAAGGCTAGGGAGAAATGAGCTCTGCACCACCCCTCGACTGCGACGAAACTCTCTCTGACACGATTCCTTGAACAACTCTTCGGCCGTGTCGACCTTTGGTTCCTCCCATCGACGTGGAGGGTGCCTGGCTGCGGTGATTGTGACGGGCATATTGTTCAGTGCGGAGTATACAGCCTGATGCGGAATTATAGGACAGATCGCGACTGTGACTGTGTGAGAAGATCCTAAATATTTGATGGTGGAAAAATGTCATGGCTGAGTGTATTCATAATTTACGCGAGGAGAAGCGGCGGGGTCGTGCAGCTGAAGAGGATATGATTTGAGCAGCCCGACTTGGTAGTAGATACTACTCGACCACTTTAGCAAATCAGAAAGTACTTAAAGTGGACGGTGATCGTACATCTCCGTCTATATTGCAGCGAATAATGGTCCCGACATTTCTGCGTTCATGTTATACTATGGCATTTACCAGCCACTAGAGCAGAAAGCTATGTTGAAGGCGATTTTGATCTAATATCTGAGCAGACCACGTTAAGATCCAATATTAGGAGTAAGACAAAGAATATCTCGCAGACAAATAATTGAGGTATATCATGTGTAGTTGGGTGGGTGACCACCAGCGAATCCATGCTGTTTGTTGTATATCCGCATTCACCCGTTTTTTGTGATTCGTTCGGAAACTCCCTCTTGCCGCCCTTACTCTTCAGTCCCTTCACCCCATTCACCTGAATGCCCTGCACACCACTATTCTACACCTGAATATCCTGCACGCCCCTGAACCGCTGACGTGTCCTTCCCCTCCCATGCTGACTTTTTCTCAGGCGTGTTGTTTTGATCACAACTCTCTGGAACTAGTTTCTACCGAATGACACATGTCCTCCTTAGATTCAAATGACAGTAGGGAAGAAAAAGAAGAAGGGCCGCCTAGGAGAATCAAACTTGTTATTGAATATAAATTCGCTGGAGGCCACCCACCCCACTACTAACTCACCGGCGAGTGGCTTCAATGCGGCCACTAGTCGGGTGGCCGTCGCCCGGGTGAGAAATGGGTGAGCGCCGCTTTAGCGTCGCGCGCCCGGGTGAGAAGGGTGAGTCTGGAATAGACGGGTGAGAAGCCGGGTGAGAGCCGGGTGAGAATCACCTGCGTTGCGCGATCGTCACTTTGGCGCCTTCAGCTGAAACGTTATAATATTATTGGATTGCATCCCTCGTCCTGAAACATTCGGTGTCTTGGCATATGCACACAGCCACCAGTTAGATGTGATTTTGATCGAGACTGACTGGTCAATAACTTCCAGCAAAAGGTGTCGCGCCAACCTCATGCAGGAAGCGACAGATTCATGACCAATTTTTCAAGTCGAGGATCAAGCACAGTAAAATCTATGTAAAGCTTATGAGGGGCGGAAAGTCAGCCCAGCGAAGTGAGGCTGGCAATTTGCTGCCAGTGAAATCTGGCCGATGTCAGTCAGCTCGTTTAGTGGACTTTTTCTTCCCCCCAGCATCGAATCCGCAAAGAAATTCGACTTCAACACGACCTGATCTAAAACTACAACGCCGGAATTTCCCTTCTGCTGCGAAGCGACTCGCGACATAGAGGTTCTAAGGGTCCTCCGGACCATCGCGCGCCTGCTAGCCTCTAGTACAGACCATGGATTCGAATAGCGAAGAGCTCCTGGAAGCCTTTCGGAGAGCAACAAACGAACTCAAGCTCTGTCCAAATCGCGTATGGGCTGTTGCAGGGGAGGACTTGCCCCAGCTCTTACCGAAGCTAGAGGGAAAGGGGAGCCACGTCGACCAAAACAAGCATGAGCTATGTACGTTCGATTTTTGTGAATACTCGCGGCGCGACTTTACTGCGATCCAACAACGCCACGAGTGTGCGCACAAAAGGTGCACACGACTACGCTATCGATTTCCAAGGCGAATACTTGAACAGAGTGCGAGGAGTGGAAGGTCAACCGTGTGGAATTTGACTGGAAATGCCATGCTTAAACCTCCTCGGCCATATATGGCAGTTTCTCACGTCTGGTCAGATGGAACCGGCACTGGTGCCTGGCAGGACGGAGAAGTCAACGAATGCCTATACTCATTTTTCCGAGGCATTGCGGAACAGTTCCAATGCGAGGGAATCTGGTGGGACACTCTTTGTATTCCACGAGAAAAGACCGCCCGGACTGAAGCTATACGGAGAATCCAGAGCAACTATCAGGACGCTCGAATCACCTTGGTGCATGATTTGTTCCTCCGAAACTGGGAGTGGAACCCCAAAACTGCATGCTTTGCTATTCTTATGTCGCCTTGGTTTAGTCGAGGCTGGACTGCCCTAGAATTAGCCAAGTCGCCTAAGGTAAAGGTGATCTTCAAAGGACACTACGGCCCTGTCATAAAAGATCTCGATGAAGAAATCCTTGCAATGGAAGATGAAAACGAGGAAGACGAGGACGAAAGGCGCCGGAAAAGAGCTTCTCAGATTATCCGGAATCTCAGGAAAGAAATCAGATCACTGAACGAACTGTTGACCGTACTAGGTCCACGCTATACATCTTGGCCGAAGGACCTATCTATCATCTCTGCACTGCTAGTGGATGTTGAACCGGATGAGCTGCAGCAAAACACGTATATGCGCATCCTAAACAAGATCGAGAATATTTCAGCGGGACATCTCTTCCACAACGCTGCGACCATGTCTACAGGATTCAGCTGGTGCTCTACCAGTCTGTTTTATATGCCTTTGGACAATTCTCCTAAGGCCTGGCTGAAGATTACCGATAACGGCATCCGAGGGATGTGGCGTATCATTTCTGTGGACGAAACACTTGAAAAGAATTGTCTGTGGAACGGCTCGCATCCTCTGGTAAGACGGCAACTCCAAGATACCCTTCAGAAGTACCCTAAACAATGCCGGCTCTTGGCTGAGTGCGGCACTGAACAAGTTAGAAGGGCTTTATTGGTGAGAGAAATGCAAGAGGCAAGAGGAATTGATGAGCCGCTCCGCTGTCAATACGTCGGTGCGCTATACGTGCGCCAGGAGCTGAAGGCGAATAAAGTTGATGAAGTTGTGATTGTCCACTCCAACATGCACCGCGTAGAGAAAGCGGAACAGTCAACCAGCACTCCAGAAGGCAAAAAGATCGAGATGCTACGGCGCGCGGTATGGAGGGGAGATTACGCCACATTCGAGAAGCTAGTCGGAGATGCCAGCTTAAATGACCCAGACGAACTTGGACGACGGCCATTACATCTTGCAGCGGAACGTGGGCACAAACGGATGGTCGAAGATTTAGTTCGTTACAATGTTGACTTAAACGTACGGTGCGACAATGGGCAGACTGCGTTACATCGCGCTGCTTGGGGAGGCTCGGCTGCTGTCGTGGAACTCTTACAAGATAAAATCGACGAAATGGCGAGGGACAAAGACCGGAACACTGCACTGCACATAGCAGCAAAGATGGGATTTGCGTCCGTTGCGAAGCTTCTCATTCAAAAAAGCACTATTAACATGGAGGGCTGTAATAACCTGACGGCTCTACACTTCGCGGCGATGAGCGGATACAGATCAGTGACGGAGTTGCTCAAGGATGCTAACTTCGAAGCTAAGGATGACAAGATTGGTTGGACGCCGTTGCATTGTGCGGCCGATAACGGGGACCAAGAGTTAGTCAGGCTTCTGATAGACTACGGAGCGGATGTCAACATGAAAGATGATCATGTCGGTTGGACGCCCCTGCATTTCGCGGCGATAAATGGGCATAAAGGTGTCGTCAACCTTTTGCTCGGGAAGGGCGCACGTATCACCGCCAACGACAACCACGATTGGACGCCGCGAAAATTCGCGGAAATGAATGGGCATGTGGAGGTAGTTGAGCTGCTCTATAGTAAGGACAGCAAAAGTGCTGATGCAATATCTGCAAACGGGAACTGTTGGACATCACTGCACTGCAAGGCGATAAACAACGAGAAGGGAATAGCGAAGCTACTGGCCGACAATGGTGCTGACGTCTATTTGAAAGAGAGGGATAAGAGTTGGACACCACTGCAATTTGCTATAGAGAATGGGCTCGTGACGGCGATCCGGCGACTGCTCGAGAAGGACGCCAATGTTATAGCAAACGATGGCCAGACGCCGGTACACCTGGCCGCCTTAGGTGGGCACGAGGCGTCCGCACGGCTGCTACTCGACCTAGGCGCCGACAAGGAGGCCAGAGACTCGAATGGCCGGACGGCGTTACACCTGGCCGGCTTACGCGGGCACGAGGAGGTCACACGACTGCTACTCGAGGCAGGCGCCGACAAGGAAGCAAAAGACTCGTTCTACCGGACGCCGCTACACTACGCAGCCGAGTATGGGCACGAGGCAGTTGCGCGGATGCTGCTCGAAGCGGGCGCCGATACGGAGGCTAGAGACTCGACCAGAGACATAAAGGGCCAGACTTCGCTACACCGGGCCGCCGACCGCGGGCACCAAGAGGTTGTACGGATACTACTCGAAGTAAGCGCCGATAAGGAGGCGGAAGACTTATATCACCGGACGCCGTTACACCGTGCAGCTAAGCACGGACACGAGGCGGTCGCGAGGATACTGCTAGAGGTAGGCGCTGACAAGGAGGCGAAGGACTACTTTTACTACACGCCGCTGCACTGGGCAGCTAAGCACGGGCACGAGGCGGTTGTACGGATGCTGCTCGAAGTAGATGCCGATAAGGAAGCCAGAGACTCGAATGGCCGGACGCCGCTGCACTACGCAGCCAAGCACGGGCACGAGGCGGTTTCGCGGATGCTGCTCGAGGTAGGCACCGACAAGGAGGCACATATCGATGAAGATACGTTTGCTCGGTTATGTGAATTTGCATACTTTCGAAATTACACACCCCCGACGTTTCGCCTGATCGATGGAAGAACCCCTTCCACTAAGGTCACAGAGAAGGTAAAGGAGAAGAAGAAACGGAAAAAGAACCGCTCAAGTCTCAACTGGAACGACATTTCAATGGAGCCTGTACCTGAGCCGGAACCCGAGCCGGAGCCCGCGGAGGCTGAACCGGAGACGCCACCATCCGAAGACGCCTACGACGATCGGGAGATCCCATACAAAGAGAGAAGCGTGTGGACGGGGCAATTACGCGATGCATTTGAGCAGAGCCTAGTCGTTCCCAATCCGCAATCTACCGACTTGAACTATAGCTTCACGCCACCCGAAAATACTGGGTCCTGGGAAGACTTCACCCCAGTGTTTCTCGAACAAGCTCGGCTATACGTGTTGGCCGACAAATATTGCATAGACTCATTGTGCCAACTTGTACTCTCTAAGTTGCATCAAACGTTGAAAAGCTTCAAACTTTATGATACCGGTTTGAATGGTATCATTGAGCTTGTTCGATTCGTCAATAGGAACGCACCACCAAATTACGGTGATAAAATTGATGGCATGAGGAATCTTGTAACGCGTTACGTTGTTTCTGTTCTTGGTCAAGTCGGCGAAAGTGAATGTTTCCGAGAACTCTTAGCAGAAGGCGGTCCTTTCGTGAGTGATTTTTGGAACACTATCTGGGGTATCGAGGGAAAGTCAAGCGCATGAAATGGATGGCTGTTCTGACGTCTTGCTTGTCTGCCACGGTGATTTCAGAATTGATTCAAGCTCTATCAGTACATGTAGCCTGTTCCCCCTTCAATTAGACCAACATGTCGCCCACTGGTTGTGGCAGAATTTGAGTCGGCTGATGTCCCTAGATCGTCATGACAATTGACGGAGGAATTCTCCCATATGAGGTTAATATCTGCTATCAGACCTTCAACACATTCAAGATGTGCGACTGTTGTTCCACGAAACGCCAGCATGTGTCGATGGTTGCCGGCCTATCAAAAGTCCGAAGATCTTTAGGGTAGAAAGTAGATGCCATACGAGGCTGAACATCTGTCAGCATCAAGGACGGCGAGAAAGCGCGTGCATCGCAGACTGGTGAGTATCTCAGTAGGGAATCTCTAGACTACCTTTGACCTTACCAACACAATCTATTCGCGTAGCCATAGGGTTGAGCGCTGTAGAATAAGAGGGCTGAGTAAAGATGGCTGCTGTGGTGCCCCATCCGTTTTCTTTGCTCGCCCGTCGTTTTGGCTTCTTTGCAGAATGAGCGTTATGAAAACTCTGAAACGGTACAGGTTGAATACGAAAACTATTTTTAAATTGTGCCCTGAAACGAACGAAGTGAGAGAAAGGGAATAGTCAACACGGATGTACGTGTGCGCGAGACGTTTGCAAAAAGAGGTGGCTTAACTACGTATGGACTGTTTTGCCACGTACGTCCCTCATTCGCTCTTCCTGCCTGTTGGTACCTGCATTATTGTCGCTTTCTTCGGACTAGATGGTCTTGGCTTTAGGGTTCTAGGGTTTTGTCTGCATACTTATGCACTTTCAGCAGCTATTATTGCTTCGTCTTCTGCACCTTGTCCTTCGTTTTATTGCAACGTTGTGCTGTTTATTACCACCACGATTTCCAGACCTCTGTGCTCCTCCCAGTTCTCTGGCAGGCACCCTCTACTTTCCTGGATTTCGACCGCCTCTTGTAGAGCGACCATTCTTGCCGGATATGCCGTGCTGCTCGCCGGACCTGTCTGAGTCTCCGTTATCAAAATCCCAGCAAGACCGTTTAGAGGCCAGATTAAAACACTACATTCCATAGGTACAAGACCTTGAACATTGAGAGCTAGACTATACTGCTAGCTTGCTTTTATCCTGTTATAGTTGGATATTAAATGTACAAGGCAGCTGTATCCCAGAAAAGAATCGCTGATAAATCGATTTGACCAAGCCATGGCTATAAGATCCAACCCCATCCCCACGCTAGCCCATCATCATATTAGCAAAGAAAAAAGGGAAAATACCAAGAATCAACAACGAACAACCCAGGCCAAAATCACGACGGCCGCAGAAATAAAAGAAGTAGCGACAAGGCATCCCTCCTCTCTTGTCATGTTGTGCGACTCAAGGAGAGGGGGAGAAGGGGGTGTACATGATGGATATGATAATACGGTCAAACTAATTGAATATATCCTTCATAAAGTGCAGCTTAAATACTGAGACTTTTCATTCTTTGACTGAGCAAATCGTCAAGTGAAAGTTGCCGATCGAAATCAAAATCTCCTTTGTAATGTAAGCATTTGCTCTTTTCAGAATCCGGATCGCTCACCAATGCTATGCTCCTTGCAAGCACTTCGCAGAGATTCCACTGACATGCAGAATTCGATGCACTCAGCCGGTACCCATCGATAAGCAACCCAATAGTTTGAATTTACCCAACTGAGACCTTTTGTTCGAGAGGGAGCCCAGGCATTCATGCCCAATTTGTCAGTTAAAGTCGTTGTACGACCGAACAGGACTCTCATAGCTATAAGCTTTGAGACATTAATCACGGCTATCATTTCTCCTTTCAGGTCCCCAAAATCCCAGTGTTTGATAAAACGTAAAATTCTCGCAGGGCTATCAGACAGCGCAATGAGGTCCGAAGGTCGGCCGCCCTCGCAATGGTTTTTCAAGACGTCCTTATCGACCAATGAGCTCTCGTGTAGAGAGCCGTCATGATTAGAAGGCAGCGTGAATGGTTGCCTTGAAGAACGGAATCCAAGGTGTTTATCATATCGACTGTAGCTGGACGACCGAATAGCCCGATAAAGGATTCTTGGGGTGTTCGGCTCGGGTCTAACTGAATGCTCGCAACTTCGGCCTAAGAGGACTTTATTAAGAGTGTTGAGTGTTTTAATGTCCGCAGATAAAGTCAAAAGCACATCGGTAAGTCTGGTTCTGATGTTCATATTCTTTTCCGGCAATGAGAGCTCTCCATTCGGTTCCTCGTATTTATAATGAAGACTCTGGCATGGAATGGGTAACTCTCCGCCGGTGACCAGCGAGGCGACGAACCCGAGACTATCGGCGAGGAATATTTTATCATCAAGGGTGTTGACAAGCCTTTGACATAGAACGTTGTATTCCTTCTGCAGTTGAGCATCGCGTTCGTTGACCCGGTTTTCTCTTATCTGTCCCTCTGTGAGAGGAGGTCTGTCGGCGAGCGCGATATAATAATGTCTGACGATATGAACTGGACGAACACCATATCTTTCAGGAACATCATGCGCCGCCATCTCTCTGTAGCAAGGAAATACAAATTAGCGGTAGGATGGGTAGCCTAAGAATTTAAGTTGAGGGGACGTCTGGAGCGGCGAAATATAACTCCGTTCCGAGTAGATGAGTACGTAGATACGTTTTTGTTCATCGCCATGGGATTCATGGTTTGCGCCTTTAGGCACCCACTCGACTGGGTTCTGAGTTAAGCAACCCCAAACCTTCTTCTATAGGTTTCATACAGTAGTCGTTCTAGAAGTAAACGGAGAATTATTCTTGGAAAGTGGTAGTTTACAGCCAGACTAAATTCAGATTAGGGTGGTTTTGGATATGTGCCGAGAAACACGGCGTGTGTGTCCATAGGGGAATCTGCTCCTTCTCTCCTTTCCAATTCTTCGTTTCAGGGCCGATGCGCGCGACGCGCGCGTCTTCCAGTATAAAATACTGCCAAGACCGGCAATCATGGGTAAAGTGGTGAAACTGGCCATCTTGGATCAGTTCTCGAATTTCACTGCACTTGTTAGTAGGACTAACCTCCCCCACTTCCCCCGACTGTTCCACTCGATATCTGAGAACGTGAGTCTAGTGGCTATAAGAGTCTGCCGGCCGGCCCCTCAAAAGTTTCAATCTGAGCAACCACGACCCCTGAATTATGATTGCCACTTCACCCCTTAACCCCGCGACCACGGCCCAGCGCCTCTTCAGCAAAAGTGAGGATATGGAAAAAGCTTTTATTCATTTGCCCGATGAGTTACTCCTCTTGATTGCAAGTTTTCTAGAGAAAGAAAAGGACATCAGTTCGTTATCTCGAACTTGCCGAAAATGCTATCCTCCCCTCAACTCCTTCCTCTATCACCACAATTCGTTGAACCTAGGAAGTTCCGCTTTGCTATGGGCAGGCCAGCGGGGGATGGAAGGGACAGCTCGTATCTGTATTCGAAATGGAGCTCATGTTGGGGTTACTGATATCCACGACTACGACAGAACACCACTATTCTGGGCCGCGTGCAATGGCTATGAGGCTGTGGTGAAACTCTTACTTGAGACCGGGCGGGTTAATGGGGATTCAAAAGACTCCCGCGACGAGACACCTCTGCTCGCAGCCGCTAAGCACGGTCACGAAGCGGTGGTGAAGCTCTTACTTGAAACTGGACACGTTGATTTGCAGCCAAAGGACGACCCTAATGGTTGGACACCGCTGTATGTCGCTGCATGGCACGGCTACGAAGCGGTGGTGAAACTCTTACTTGCGACCGAGGGCGTTGATGCAGATTCAAAGGACTCCAACGGCTGGACACCGTTGTTGCGGGCTGCGCAGGCGGGCCATGAGGCGGTGGTGGAATGTTTACTTGAAACTGGACACGTTATGCAGCCAGAGGAAGGCGCCAGCGGTTGGACACCGCTGTCCATCGCCACGCAGAATGGCCATGAAGCGGTGGTGGAGCTTTTACAGTGGAGTGAGTGGCGAAGCTTCTGGAATCGAGCAGGTTGATAAGTCATGAATTCGTAAACAATATAAACGGGTTTGAAACTCACATTTCCATAAAGGTTCACACTTTAAAGGGGCTAGGTTGGGCGCCATCTTGGTGTGATCACAGGTGACTGAATGTTAAAATCTACCTCTGCCAAGGAGCCAAGGCTTCCGAAGTGGGGTTTCGAGGTGCCAATTAGGTCAACTCGCAGAGTAAGACAGCGGCTAAATATCCAGATTACTCTATGTAATAAACAATACAGGGCCCACTGACAGGGATACTACGGAATAACTCCCAATATAGACTAGTCTGTCTTGGCAGTTAGGGTTTGAGAATCAATCGAAGAGTGCAGGTGGTGACACCAGTTTCGGGAAGTACAGTAAATGTTGGTACTTCCTCGGTATATTGGAGAGACCTGAACCCGAGACGTTGTGGTTGATATTCCGACGACATAAAATTGCAGCATTGTGCGCGGAGCGGGAACTTACCCCTGACTGATGGCGGACCCACTGTTACGCACTGCAAACTGGTCACAGTTAGGGTTAGTAGATCACGGGTTATACTCACAAGGGTCTCTGATCTTCCAACGTCAACGATCTGTCTCTCAACCGTACTGTTGCCAACAGGCCTTACTGCAGGTTAGGTCCTTTTGAGGGTATCGAGGAACGATGCCAGGTAGAGCGCTCAATTGATCTATAC